AGTGAAGCAAGTAATTTATTGAAACATGAATATACTAATGCAAAATAATTTGTTGGAAATTATATTACACTATAACTCAAATATGTATTAATTTATTAATTTAAAATTATGTTACATGTCGTAACATATAATTTTATGTGCATATTACATTGAATCAAATGAATAGTCAAGAAAGTAACATGTTCGAAGACTGTAAATATTTGAAAATTACATTTTGATTGCGCTAGACGACGACGACGGAACTGAAATAAAATCATCTCGCTCGCCATCTCAATACGCCCTGATCTCGTACACTAATCGTATTGAACTTGGGGGGAATCGCTTGAGAACCTTCAATTCCTATAGTGAATGTATCAATAACTTTTCCTCATATATAACGGTTTATAAGATATTTCGTTCCAAACACAGGTATAAGGAGTTGACTCGAGTAAAGAGTCTCGGCGCGCTGCGCCCTGTACAGCCGGTTGCCTGTACTTGGCGCGAGACTCGACCGAGTCTCTTGATCCAGCACACTCTCCTCTCTTACGTTTACCACACGGCTGAAACAAGCTGGACACCATTAACGACGCTTGTATGCATTGAAGATTACATTTTCTTTGAAAATTTGTATATGTCTTTATGCATTTCTAGAAAATGGGACTTACAAAATAAATTTATATGCCATTAAACATTTTCGACAACGTAATATATTTTTCTGATCAGCAACATCATAATGCATTTACATTTTATATCTGTGATAATATAGATTTCAGTGCTTAGAGCTTCTATGTCCCGTTGAGCAACAAAAACTTGTGATATCCCCAAAAAAACACTTACGTGTAAACAACTACGCCAAGTACAGGAGTGCTGTGTATTCCTCTAATACAAAGTATTGATATCAGATTATTGAGGTCAAGTACATAAGTCACTACATGTTTGCCTATTATATGATATAGCACTAACCCATCATTTTAATTGTATTTTCAAAATTTCCTATAACGTTTTCACTACTCTTTTACATTACTACTGTTTGTCGTAGTTGATTATAATTTAATCGTTATTTAATAATTAATAAAACTTTAGCTGATTCCTTTTTGAGTACTACTTGGCGGGTCCGTGCCAGGAATTCCAAAGTACTTGCTTTGAACGTACTAATAGTATCCTAAAACTATTTGTTTGTTATTAAGATTTTACCATGATATTATTGACGAGTTATCGTTAATAAGCTCTATATAGAAAGTTGACATTGGTTTTGAGTTTAATAACTGGTATAATGAACGCAAATTTATATCAAGAAATGCACAGACCCGCCAAGTAGTACTTGATAAGGAATCAGCTAAAGTTTTATTCATTATTAAATAACCATTAAATTATAATCAACTACGACAAACAGTAGTAATGTAAAAGAGTAGTGAAAACGTTATAGGAAATTTTGAAAATACAATTAAAATCATGGGTCAGTGCTAAATCATATAATGTAATAGTCAATTTTTTAACAAAAACAATTGACAACAGGGATTGACAATCGACAACAGTCAGTAGCAACGCACCAGCAAAAGTTGGCCGCAAGTGGCAGACACGGCAGTGTGGCCTCTTATAAAAATGACATGTGACTGTGACCGATTCCCATAAGCGCAAACTGATAGTTCGCATAGCAATAAGGTTTTTGAAATATTTCAATAGTTAGGTTACTGAAATATTGAAATACTGAAAAAAAAAACTAATATTGTAATGATAAAATGTAATATCAGTTAAGATTTATTTTCACAACAGATTGCAATTAAAACAATATACAGTTTAAAATATTCATAATTTTGATATTTCCAAGTAATGATCACAACTGCAATTCTGCAATACAATGCTGCAAATAATTTAAAAATCAATTAATTGAAATGTTTTTATAACAAAAAAGTGCAGCAAAAAAATCTGTTGTGAAAATAAATCTTAACTGATATTACATTTTATCATTACAATATTAGTTTTTTTTTTCAGTATTTCAATATTTCAGTAACCTAACTATTGAAATATTTCAAAAACCTTATTGCTATGCGAACTATCAGTTTGCGCTTATGGGAATCGGTCACAGTCACATGTCATTTTTATAAGAGGCCACACTGCCGTGTCTGCCACTTGCGGCCAACTTTTGCTGGTGCGTTGCTACTGACTGTTGTCGATTGTCAATCCCTGTTGTCAATTGTTTTTGTTAAAAAATTGACTATTACTGTGCAATCTTGAAATTGCCCGCCCAGAAAAGAAAAGAGCGTCGACCATGCCGCGTAGGTGAAATAAAAAACCATGTTACCGACAGAAAAAAAAATTATATATTTTATTACACAATTAAGGAAGAACTGTAATATATTGCAATAATAACATAGATAAACTAATACAATGTAGCTTTATTGAAAATTGATAATTGAAAAGATTGATTGGTGCAAAATAAATTACAACGTAATTCATTGAAATACTTCGTTTTTTTTATTTATAATAAGTATCGTTTTTTATGCCTACATTACAGTTTCATTAACAATTAATCTTTGGCCTATAAAGACTATTAAGTTAATTTTACAAACAAGCCATCACCGCTCTTAAGTATATGAAAACTTAGAGATTCAGAACCAAAAACTGCATAAAAACATACACATATCTGAGCGGTTTTATGCGCGTCCTCATTTGCATTTCTTCTAGTTCCTCTTGCATCCTATAAATAGCCGCTATATGTAAACGCTTTATTCGCTTTTCTTTTGTAGAATTTCCCATCTGTAACAACAATGATTTGACAATTAAATAAAACAACCATGATATTCATTCTCATTATCTCCCACTTATCCTAAGTAAACACATACATACCAAATTATTATTATAGAAGCACGTTTTTCAACAGTCTTCTGAGTTGGTAGGATGTACCATGAATTAGCATCGCTATATATCTCTAGTACCCATTACGTTTATCTGCTCGTTCCTGTAACAGAATGTGTTACTCGTTAAAAAGCACCAACCCATTCTTTCTAAATAAACGAGCACAATTTCTATAGTTTTTCATTACAAAAAATTCTATTATATTGTATATTTCTTACATGTTATAAGAAATTACGTACCGGCCTCTGTCATCACAAACGTAGGTTCGTCATTTGCGATGATTCCACAATTTGCTCATCATCTTCATTTTCAGCTTGCGAATTCCTATATTGTATAGCCTCGAAATCTGTTGTCCTTATCCACATCAGCGATGGTTGGTGATTCATGCTTTTCTTCGCTCTAAACAAAGTACACAACCAATTCATCTGTCGTTCTTGCATTATCTAAAATATGTAATACATCACGCCCCTGATTGCATCTCTTCCAGTTCCTCTTGCACGCTATGAGCTGCGATTGGAGAGTTGTACTTTCTGTAAAAACAGAAATGTAATTTCATGAAGTGTAACGCCCTGTTCTCTATTCTTTCTGTATTAAATATTTTCCTCTGTTAATTATACCTTGTTTCCTCTGTATTTTTTTCTTCCATGCTTTTTACTCGGTTTAATACGAAATGCTCTATAAGTTACAGTAACTTTTCATATTTTAGTGGTGCACATCTGTTTTTATCCTGTATAAACAAAATTATAAGAAAATATTACACAGTTGCATATAAAGAATATTGAAGAAACCTGGTTTACTTTGCCGTAATGCAATATATAGGTATAAATGCAAAGTATATAATGTTTTGATCCAGAAAAAAGCAGTTCTCCATTTTGAATAGGAGTAATTCTATCGTTAAACCAAAAAACATCAAATATACTTTTTAAGAGAAATCTTACCTCGTACTCCTCTCCTTTGACTCCATCGATCGATTTCTAATTATTTCAATAGACACGAAAAGATAGTCTCTTTACAAGCAAAGAATATTTAAGGGTTTACGTACTCACCTATTTTTTTATAAACGACATCGTTTGTAATCACTTCTTTTATCAGAAAAAAAACAACCTACAACCTGTCATTCACGAGCAGATTCTATTCCACATTTTTTCGACTTCCAAAAATAATATCTGAATTGCAAAGAATAAATTTTTGCATACTTTTTTGCTATTACAAATTAATCTTAAGCTCTTTCGTTTTTTCATTTAATCCGCCGATCGAAGAACAACAAATACTACGGAAAAATATATTTTTCGTATTAAAGGTCATTTACCTCAAGTGTTCTCCTATATACGCAATTCCATAACGCGCTTCACTGCTTTTTCACGGAATATTAAACGCACAATGTTACGATTTTTTTCTTTAATAAAAATTAAAATAAACTGGTGCCCTACGATAACCCCAATCTGTCAAACTGTATGTATGTACATACATACATGCCGTGAACTTGGACACGAAGCGCCGATACTGACACTCGTCGACCGACAACACCGACAGCCAATCACGAACCGAATAAAGCGACAACAATGCTAATATCGCAATTCGATAAAATGTAACATGACTTTTTTTAGGAAGTGATTGGAAGTGATGAAAAGTGAGATGAATGATACTAATTGGAAATTATATGTCTGTACATTCGATCATAAACAATAATCATGGTTACCCGAGTGTTGATTGACATTCGCAATGATTTAAAGCTTTTAATTAGTGCTATAACTGGATTTGAGGTGAGTAAATTAAATATACTTACATATTTTCATCTGTGTAACCTAAGAGTGTAAAGAAGAATACTTACGACTTTTCACTTTTGGATATTTATTAAGGTGTATACAAGCATCCATAAAAGTATAAATAACTATAAAAAGAGCTTAGATTTTAAATCATCAAAATGTTAGGTGATGATTTTGTAAAAAATATACTTTGTTGTATTCAAGAGAGTAAGTTTACAAACATGTACTTTCTTACATTTAAGACATTTGAAAAACCATGAAAGGAATATTATATTATAATCTTTGATAGTCTAGTAACGATATCTTTTACAAATGAACATAAGATGTTTATAAATAGTACATTGCCAAATTAAAATTTTTATCACCTATAGATTTATTTTTGTTTTTAATGCAAAAAATTAATTAAAAATAAATGCTACAAAAGGACTTTGTACACAAATTTTTACTATGAATATGGTAGTATCTGATTTAGCTAGTTTTTCATATATTACATTAATATTCTATGATATAGTATAATGGAATATTAACTGTGATTGCACTTATTAATTTTTAGCCAATTGCATTGTTTGAGGTCAATTAATAAAATAAAATTAGTCATTACAATTATCTAAATATTAATCTTGCGGGTCCATATTACTTTTTAAGTACATTCAGTCCACAAAGAGTGTATTGCACCCTATCCGCTTTTAAATTCATCCCAATTTCATTGCAATAAACATTTATACAATACAAAAATATTTTGATATAGTACTATGTCTGTAGTAGACGTTTTGTTTTTTTAAATACATTTTTTTCAAATTTTCAGGAAAATTTAAAAACCAATTGAAAGTGTTAGAAAGTGTTAGAAGTGTTTTAATTATTAAGAAACGACGTCTTAGGGCGATATTATGCAGAAGTGAAACTATTGGTGAACTCATTTGTCATTACTGTGCATTTCAAAAAGTATAATTATTTTGAATATTGAACAGTGAAAAATATATGAATTACAACAGTATTATTTATCGGAACTACCTTACATACTGCATAAGTACAATCTGTGCTCATTGTATATAATAGAGGGTTAATAAATACAAACATGATTGTGTTTCAAAATATAACTTATATTAATACAAGGTATATTTATTTTGTGCAATGCACAAGTGGTAGTAATTACATTTAATTTCTTTAATAATATTTTGAATAATTGCTGACCTCTTATCAATCAAAGAAGGACATATATATACCACTAAGGAAATATTGGTAAAAAAGGCCAGCTTGCATATATTTTATATCTGAAATAAAATTTATGGCATATCAACTCTTTCTAACTTATATGCTGTTGCGAAGTATATTTCCTATGTTCGCTGTGATCAGTAGCTGTTAGACACAAACATTTTACAGTAAAACTTTTCAATAACGTAATGATGTGTCATCTCACTATATTGTAACACTCTACTATTTCAAGTTTTGATTATTCAAGACCTCTCTCCGAGTGAATAAGTATGGTTACCCATGGAACAAAGTAAAGTATACAGAAAGTGGGGGGGCCATGACATTATGAAATTTTATGAAGAGAGAAATTTTAATTATTGTCAGTTTGGTACTATTGAGGGTTACATTGTTGTAAGGTTTTACCATACTTCTTGGTGTATACAGTGTTGTGGGTAAGGTGCTATTCAAAGTATAACTCTGTGTGTGATGAGTAAAATAGTAATATGCGGTTTATTTGAAGATATGGTATAATAAAAGTAAGGGAACTGGTATAACGGAAATATATCCACTGTCTCTGTTTGCAGAACAAAACTAACAAGCTGTTGCCCCGTTTTCGGTGCAATGAGACGAATTGCTGTACAATTCGTAACTATGAGCAATTGCTCCAGTCTAGTCGAAATCTAAGCGGAACACTTATCTCTTTCTATGTCGAGCACTTGCTCTCTTCTATATTGAGCACTTGCTCTGTTCGATATTGAAGATTGCTCTCTTTCCTATAGAACTCACGATTCTTTCTATGTCTGCCTCATCGGTTCACTTTGACCAGATTGACTGCACCTCATCGTCTCTCGACGCTGGAGCCGTTGGGGTTGTTGCATAAGCATTTTTAATATTCCTTAGCGTATGCCCTTATGAGGCGACGTTTTTTGCAATTCTCAGAACTGCGATAGCATAGGAACATATGGTTCCTAGCTCCTTTATGTTCGAGGTGGTTTTTAGTATTGAGGTAAGGACCAAACCGTTAACGAAGTACGCTGGTAAGCGTGTTCTCGTCTTTTGATATCCCCCACAAAACACTAATCAGTGCCATCTGTTATCTAAAAAAGTAGTTGGAGGTACGAAGACGACGACGATGACTGAAGTGAATTAAAATCATCTCCTTTGCTAGTTCAATATGCCTTGATCTCGTACAGCAATTGTATAGATCTTGGTGCCGATCGATTTAGAACGGGAAACGTAAACACAGAAAACTATGCGGAGGGACACTTGAACACTCTCAACTTCCACATCTAAACACAGAAAACTATGCAGAGGGACACTTGAACACTCTGAACTTCCACATCTAACACCTAGGTGTCAAGAAAGTGCTATTTCAATATGCCTTGATCTCGTACAGAAATTGTATAGATCTTGGTGCCGATCGATTCAGAACGGGAAACCTAAACACAGAAAACTATGCAGAGGGACACTTGAACACTCTTAACTTCCACATCTAACACCTAAATACAAGAAACTACGATGCGTAACACCTGAACACCCTAGATATCCGATATCTAGATACAAGAAACTACGGAGAGGAACACTCTGAACTTTCACATGTAACACTTAGATGGAAAAAACTACGGAGCAGAACACGTGGACACCTTGGACTTCCACGCCCAACTCTTAGATACAAGAAACTACGG